TGCTCTGCTGAGTGCAGCTGCCCACCGTGGCTTCCCCAGTACCACCACAGGGGGAAGGCTCTCTCCCCTCTCCCCGCCAACCACACTCAGCACTGTGCTGTGGGGCTGGAGGAGAGTTCCTGCCAGAGCTGGCTGGATGCTCAGCCCTGGCTCCAAGCAACACCAGCAGCAGCTGCTCTGCTCTTTCCTTTCAGGTCTCTTTGCCTGTGTGGGCTGCATGCCCAGGCGAACACGTCGCAGGGAGAGAAGCAGGGTGTCAAGCCCTGTCCCTACCTGCGCCGTGACTTTATTGCTGCAGCGCCTGCAAGATCACGAGGTGAGCTGGGGACATCCAACCATCAATCCTTGCCCTCTGGCCCAGTGCCACGGTCCCGTGGGTGCCGGGCCCCAGCAGCACATCCACATAGCGATGGGTGACAGCGGGCAAAGCGAGCGTGACTGATCCTTGTTCCCAGGGTGACCGAGCGCAGGCGTACTGTGAGCTGGAGAGCGCCCTGAGGGAAGCCGGCAGCCGCCCGCCCTGCGGAGTGGTGAACCGGCTGCTGGCAGAGGTGTCCCAGGACCTGACAGCAGCCCAGGTGAGGGGTCACTCCCAAAGGCAAAAGGAGCTGCCTGCCCACGCTGTTGTTCTGCTGGCGGATGGCAATGACTTAGGCCTTCCAAGGGCCTCAGGCAGTCTCCTGTGCCGCGTGTCACCAGAGACTCTTTTTCAGGGCATGACAGCCAATGTGAGGACAGCTGCCAGCAATGTCCTGGTGGCTCTGGCTCGGACGCACTTCACCTTGGTGAGCCACCTGAAGGCCACGGGGGATGCATCCAAGGAGACTGTGCTCATCACCCTGAGCAAACTCTTCAGCACATATGGTAGAGTGCCCTCAGCCTGACATCTATAATAACTGTGAAAGGGTCTCTCCCCTCCGCGTGTGATCTGTGTTGAGTTGGGGGATGCAGGGCTGCAGCCCCTCCTCCCGCACTGCCAAGACTGACTGTGGCCCTCTCCTTCCTCTCTGCAGCTCCACAGTGCATCCCCTTTGTGTGGCTGACGCTGGCCGGCCTGCGCAGTGTGGTGGGCCAGGTGAGGAGTGGCCAAACTCTGCGCATCGCTTGTGCTGGTGAGTGCCGGCCCCAGAGCAGGGGGCCTCGGGACAGCCCTTGCACCTCGCCCTGCTGCAGACTCTCACAGGCTCCCTTTTTTCTCTCTCTTTTTTTAAAAAATAAATTATTCTTTTTTTAATTTTTATTTTGTTTTGTTTTTTCAGTTGTGAAACAGTGGTTGGATGAAGTCAAGATTAACTTGTCCTCGGGAACCCAATGCCCCTGGCCTGCCATGGAGAAAGAGCAGATCTACGAGAATCTTCACAAGCTGCTCTTCTCTGTGGTGAGGAACTGGCAGGATTGCCAGGAGGAGGAGGTGAGCACTGCTGCATTCCCAGCCCAGGACGGCAGCAGGGACACCCATGTTGGCAGCTCTGTCTGTGCCCAGTGGGCTGAGTGCCAAGGTGTGACAAGAGGGAGTGGGCTGGCTCTACAAAGGGTCCCAAACTAGCTCTGTGCCAGAAAGCAGCCACGTGTCACAGCACTGTGGCAGGAAGAGCTGGGGATGAGGGTGTGGGGAAAACCTGCCTGCTCTCCAGAGTGAGCCCATCTCTTGCTGGGCATGGGGGTACGGGGAAAGGGAAGGGAAAGTGAAAGCCCTCTCTGTTGGAAGGGCAGACCTTCAGTCTTTGATGCTGAGCCTTTGCAATCCCTCTCCAGGACAAACAGGCCGTCCTCGGGGCCATTGCTGCCATGTTGGATGTTCTCCTGCAAGAGGAGCTGCACAGAGAGCATGTCTGGGAGCAGCTCCTCTGTCAGGAGATCCAAGACACCTGCAGGGTGGCCAAGGTGAGATGCTGCGCACAACTCAGGGTGGATGTGGGGCCTGTGCAAGTGCCACGAGGGGTTAGGGGGATGCAGGAAGGAGGTGGGGAGCCCTTGGACAAAGAAGGAACAGGTGTTCAAGGGAGGTCTGAAGCTTCCTGAGCTCTTCAGTCAAAGAAGGAACAACCCAGACAGGAGCCAGGAGGGAGCCAAGAGTCACTGGGGCTCACCTCCTGGGGATGGGAGGTTTCACCACCACACCATGGGGCGCTGAGTGCCTGAGGAGCTCTGTGCTAAGAACCGGGGGGACCACGTCCAGTTGCATCTGATGGGGAAGAAGAGGGCTGCTGGGTGGGAAATGCCTGCAAACAGTGCCCAAACAGAGCTTGGTTGAGAGCAGCGAGACTCTCTTGGTGCAGCTGGGAAGTGGGGAAAAACAAGAACGCCTTTGTGAGAGCTTCTCCCTGTGCGGGAAACAGTTTCTCCACTCCCAAGTGGCTAGATGTGGCTTCATCCCTTTCTTCCTCTTCTGGTCTCTTGCAGAGCCTCACTATCTTCCTGGAGGCCTTAGAGGGCATTGACTCTGTCATCCCCAAGGACAAGTTTCAGGACATCACCAGTGCCATATTCTACCCACAGCAGTTTCCCTCTTGGCTAAGTCTCAGGAGGACTGCAAAGCTCCAAGCCCTTGAGTAAGGCGGCTCAGCCTTAGCACCTGTATGCCCGAGGCTGCTCCAGAGCCGTGCATGTGCCCCTGGGGATGCTGTGGGGCGGGCTGGGTTTTGTCTGCCTGTCCTCTTCCCGAGAGTGCCAAGGGAGAAGAGAGTGGGCAGCACAGTGTCTTTTCCATCCTCAGTGCTGATGTGATTTTCTCAAATGGACCTTGTTCCCACAGCTCTATGATGACACCAAACAGCACAGCGAGGCTGGTCGTGCGGAGCTGACTCAATGCATCATGATGCAGGGTAAGGAGAGGAGCTTTGGCGATGCTTGGCAGTGCCCTGGCCAAAACCTCTCTCACAATCTTCAGGAATGGGCGTGAGTTGCTTGCTAACAAAGCGTGGGATTTCCTCCCTGCAGCCCGGATCTGCCCAGAGGAAACGATCCTGTTTCTGCAGTCACAGCTGGGAGATGACTGGGAGGCTGGATGTGTGGCAGCCCTGGGTCTGCTTGGTGCTCTGGCTCGCTCTGATGGTCAGTACCACAGGTCAGGACTTCCAGGGATCCCTTCTGACATCTGGGTTGTGGCTCCACTCATGTTTCTGCACATCTCTTGCAG